ATTCGATTCTCGAAGTGTGAAATAGTATCGAGATATTTATTAATAAGTAACTATTAATATATGTATATTCGAACGGTTCGTAAATTCGAACGTACTGATACAATCCTTTCGCATAAATTTATTTATTAAATCATACCTTTTTTGTTCTATTTAATTAATACAATTAACTAGTTAGAGACAAAAATACGATAGCCTATTCATCGCGTTGACCGAAGACAAAGTTATCTTCCAGTGCATTCTCGAATCTACGACATGGTACAATACTGGGATAACATTTGTCAAACAATCGCACGACGTGCACCGTGAAAAGCGTTATTATATATTCATGTTTCTAAGTCTTCCTACGAGAAAGCAATGTCGGATGTCGTATTGTAGGCATGTATGTATCTTGTGTATATTTTAGATATGCACGTGACACTGCAACGTTTCCGAATGAAATTTCATCGACGATAATTAATGCGACAAGTCGGTTTGTTTCACCATATTCGTTTTAAAAAGCAGACAATCGTAAACTTTAACAAATTCATTATATGATACATCATCCGATCGTTTTTAAATTTGCTTTCATTATTAAAAATAAATATCCTCTTAAACAAGAAATGTAAGTTTTCATTTTCGGTTGAAAAATTACGTAACATGTCGATCGTTTTTTATTACAAACAAAATAGATACAGACGTTGACAGTAAATAACGATTGCACTCGTATTTCAAATTCGTTGAACTCGCGAAAGAATTTAATGAAAAATAAATATCCAGGGTAAAAAAAAGAAAGAAAAAAAAGCATCGTTCAGAAAATAGGAATACTCGATATTCCTCGGTGTTGGTCGGCCACATAATTTATATCGTATCATCGGCTACGATGCATTAATAAAACGAGATTTCAACTTTTTTCTACTTACTCTTCAAATCGTCCTCCTTTACCGTAAGAACATTTTTCTTTAACTACGGGGGAATATTTGCCGTGCAAATATTTTTTTTCCTAGGATTTTCTTTAAAAACTAGAAAAAGGATCGAGCTCGAGTCGGAAATTTGTTTTCTTTCTCAACTGGCGAAGGGTGAAAGACAGCTTTGGTGTACGGAAGTAGCGGCAAACCTAGCGAGAAAATGAAAGAATTAATGGTCGAAGGTGATTGTCCGGAAAGGAAGCCCAGCTGCTGGGAGAGCGGCTTCACGACTCGCTAAAGCTGGAATAATAACGAACGAAACAAAGGACTTCTCCTCTTCTTCCTCTTCTTCTTCTTCTTCTTCTTCTTCTTCTTGGTATTCTTTTCCATAACGATATGCGATCTCGATCGTTACATCATTCTTAGTCCACTTTACGTTCCCTTTTCTTTGGCTTACATTAGTCGGTGGAAACGCTTACGTAAGCTACATTTACGCAAAGTCGGTTAATCGCGTTTCAAAGAACCTCGACCCCCTTTATTCGAGGCTTTATACCGAACGTGTTTTGCCATTTATATCGCGTTAGAACGCACCTAATTTGTATTTTTTTTCCTTTTTTTTCCGTTTCTCTCTCTCTCTCTCTCTTTCTTGTTATACTCTCGCATTGCCGTGCAGGAGTATGCGCGGAAAATAATTTGCTCCGTCGTTCTTCTATGCCAGTATTAAAGAGTAACGGAACGTTCGAAAATTTATGGGTTGGACCGTATAATCTCAAGCCGAAAGAAAAGGCACGGGGGAAAAAAAGCTTGGAAAAAGAGGAAGGAAAAAGTAAAACCGTTCGCCTAGGCTGCATTGTTCCACGGAGGCCTTTCAATCTCTCCGTGCCATTATTAAAGAGCTTAAAGAGAAGAATTTATCGCGTCTGTGGGCATCATCGCGCTCGATCTTGCCTATATGCATCCTCTCTTTATATATTTCCCTTTCTTCTTGGGACTTCGTTTATCCCGTCAAATCCTCGATTCTGACGAAAAGATATTCAGATAATAAATCAGAAACAAGCGAAGAAATTTCAAGTATCATCGAGCATTTAATTTAACGAACGAGTGTGCGTGCGTGCGTGTGGGAAAGATAAAAGAAAAGGATTTTGAATTGGTAACTAAATGCACGCTCCTTATCCAGAGATCTGACCTAATTACAACTTCTCGAGAGAATATGAAGTTATATAATATATATGGTAAACGTACATACGGTGTATATATCCTGTAATGAAGAGATCAGAGCCGACATCTGAAATTAGGAATTCTCAGGGGTTTTGAATTTTCGATTAAATACAGAATGAAATTTTATTCCTCATCTTTCACATTCTTCCTCTTTCTATTATCACTAATTTCTACGAACATGCACGGGGAGGACTCAGTAAAGCGGTCTGTATTTGACAGCATCAAAATGAACGGTATGTAGACGTTGTTAAAAGCTCGGAGACGAGTCAAATTTTACATGAGTTACGATAATGATGTGGCAAACGCAAGGAAACCCGTTGGATGTTCTTTTTCTTTTCAATTAAGTTTCCTGAATTTGATTAAATCATCCAACTACTTATATTTCATTTTCCAACTCTTAAATATCGGGTAACATTTATGGTTCATTAGAAATAGGAGAAAAATGCTACTGTTTCGAGCCAACCGACGCTTGAAATAGAAAAAAAAAAAAAAAGAAAAAGGAAACAAACGCACGCTAAATTAAATAGATGCGTTTGGACATTTTTGCAGGTTGAGAGGAGGATTCCTCGGTGGAATATTATTCGTTCTCTGAAAAGTGCTCGTTGTTACCTACTAGGTACGGAGAAAGGCGTAAGTTGGTCTCGCAAGCGCGATGACAAAGGGCGATATACGTAGCATGTTATAACATTAAGCGAGCACCACCATGGAAGCGGCACTAATTGTAAACTAACGAACTCAAATTGGATTTAAATTACAACGGCTGGCTGCAGAGAGAACGTACCTCTCGCGAATCGACGCATTTCTCTTTTTATTACTTTTTTTTTTCCTAACTCTTTGGGCCACCCTCTTCCTTCTCTATATTCCGTATCATCAAGAGAATGATCTTATTTGTTGATTTTTTCTTCGTAATACCAGGGGAGACGAGAGAGAATTCGATTTCGATGTTCTCATCTTGACTTCATTTCTCATTTCCACTAGCACTTACCTTGCTAACCACCGTAACGCGAACTTATACCAATGAACTTCTAACGTTATTGCGAATAAAGAAAAATACTAAAGCGAACTTTCTCAGAGGAAACATTCTCCGAGTTTCAAATGATGTCCCGGCGTCCTTTCATCGTCCATATTCCTTTTGAAATATTTCCGATTGCAATCTCTATTTTTCTATCTAATTTTTATAACCAATGTTAATCAAATATTTTCCAATAAATTGGACAAATTAATACGAGTATAATATTAACGATTTCAAAACTTCTAATAAAACGTATCAAAATAATTCTATCAAATATTTACGTAGGATACATTTAATTGGGGACACGATACGTGCATTCACTTTGACTACTCGTAAAAGACTAAACCGGTAATCGTCGTTCGTCGAACAATTAGACTTTGAAGCGATCTCCTTCTCGTTCAAACTAATCCGAAAAAGAAAAGAAAATATAACTTGCCTTGTAAATATTATCGTTGTTATATTAACACTAAGACAAAAATATAAACAAGGATGAATAGAGAGGAAGAGAAAGACAACGTACGAGCTTGCGCGAGTAGGAAAAAGGAATGAGAGAGAAAGGACAAAAGTTTCCTGTTCGCGATAGTATTCTTTGTCGTCGTCATCGTGTCTTGTACTTTGCGTTCATGCACTTGTGTGTGTATGTGTGGGATATATAGATACTTTTGTGTGTACGTGTATAAATGTATAAGTTCACCGATCGACGACTTGTCCGCTTGCGTTGTAGAAAATCGAGCGACATGCACGACGGAGTCCGCCGTTGTCCTCTATCTTTCTATCTTTACTTTTCTGAAAGAGTATTCACTCTTCAACGAGACGAAACCATACCATGGACAAAAGCTACTCGAGAATACGCAACGAAGGATGTGCTTCGCATTCGTCACGCGAGTTTCCTACCACTCGAAAGAACGAATAAAGAGAGTGAGAAAGAGAAAGAGAGGGGCGGGGGAGGAATAAAAATAGGGAAGGAGTAAAGCGTGAATCGCGCGTCAAAAAATTTCCCAGACTTTTCCAAAGTCCATAGTAGAAATACCTCTTCGTGTGTTCCCCCTGAACGAGGAAAATAAAAGTATTCTTCCTTTGGATAAAGCCAACAGTACCTACGGTGAATGCTTTCAGAAGAACCAGTTAGTCCTTTCATTTTCTTTCATTCTCTCTATTTTATTTCTCTCTCTCTTTCTCTTTCTCTTTCTCTCTCTCTCTCTCTCTCTCTCTCTTTGACTCGAATAAAACTCAAGAACTATGATGATCAGTCGATAAAAGCAGAAGTATGATAAATTGAAAGGGCCATCGGTGCGAGTGGCCATCGACAATCATATTGGAGGAAACCAGCAGGTAGCTAAGAGCACACCCTTGGACTTTTCTTTAAGCGTTAAAGGATTCTCTCCTTGTATCAGTTCTACGAGATTCTGTACAGTTAAGCAAAACTTGTTCCCGAGAAAGAAATCGCTTTGATCTTCTCCTTCAACAAGTCCTAACTCTTTTATCTCTTACTTTCTGCGTTTAATATTCCATCCGTTGATGCTCCTAGCATACTTGAACATTGATTTATACATTAGCTTGGTCTTGTGTATTCGTACGGTAGTGTAACTTGACGAAAAATGACACTTTATTCTTGAAGTGAAACACGTGAATCGAACTTACTCGATTGAAATTGATCGCACGAAATCGAAGTAAGGTTTAGAGATTGAATTGATGATAACTGAGTTGCTTTAATTAAGCAAGTTGAACCTTTATGGTTACGTATGTATATATATATATATATCGATTCTGTATACGATTTCACGCTCAGTAATTATGGATTTCCTGTACGATAGAATTACGTGCTAACCCGATATATTATTTTCGATAAAAATGATGTAAAAGAAAGATTTCCTGTTTCTACTTACGCAGAGTCGTTGTGACGTCCGATAGAAACTAGACGATAGATTTGTAATTCAACTCTCTGTCCAGTATCCGGAATGAATCTGTAGGTACACCTTGAAGGACCTTCGAGAGACGGTGATTTTATTTGTCCAAAGCCACGATCAGATTTACTGAATAGCAATCTGCTGTCCAGCGTTATATTGCACACTGCAAAAAGAAATTCACGGAGTTTGATATCGTATTACGCCATAAGTATTTCGAAAAGTAAGATAGAAAAATAAAATAGACGATATCGTTGCTCGGCGATCGATCGAATTTATCGATAGCATTGACCAATCCTCCTAAGACATAACGTAAAATATTAGTAAAAACAAATGTTTAATCTTCTATTTGAAGGTATAGAATTTCAAATGGATGAGGAAAATATGAAATTTTGTATTCTCGATCGAACGCGTCAAAATTTATCCTGTATAAGAATGAAACTTCGAGGCGTTTCGAAGAATCTTATGGAAAGGTTTTATCTCAGTGAAATAAAGAAAGGAGCTTTCTTAATTTTACCAGTTCGTGGAAGAATTTACTTCGGACAAAAAGGGGAGAAAGAAAGAGAGAGAGAGAGAGAGAGAGAGAGAGAGAATAAAGAAACGGAAGACAAAGAATTTGTGCAGGGTACAAAGTAATTGTGTGCGAGTTACAAAAAAGCTTTTTGCCCGACGTAGGAAACGTCTTTTTTCCTGGCATTGCTTTGCGTCGATAGCCGGATAATAAATTCATCCACTTTTAGTACTTTTTTTTTACTCTACTCTCTTTGACATTATTTTTAATTGTATCTTTTTTTCGTCTACCTATTATTTATTTCAAAATACAAAAGTACGTTAGCGGGTATTGACGCGACTTAATATTTCTTTCATATACTATATTTCGTTAGCGTAAACTTAACTAAAGAAATGTTCATTTTCGAGATAATCGTAAAGAATTTTTATCTACCATTTAAAAACTTGTAATGTCGAGTCATTCCATTTGGTGCCAACTTGACGTCTCAACGACGATATTACAAGACGATCCCATGACGTAATTTGAATCTTAATTGATATTTTCGCAATTATTACCGTGATCTTTAATCGTATCTGGGATGAATCGCAATATTCTTTATTGCACGTCAGTTCCACCCATTTGATTATGACTCTTTTCATGAATTTTAGTTTAACGATGACATTACAATCAATGTTAAAATGAAAGTTCCTAATGAAATCAACGAAATGTCTTGAAAAGGATAAATCGAGAAAGAATGTTTGTTAATAAATGGCTAATAAATTGACAAAAAGGAAACAAAAACATGGAGAATAGCATTAGGTAGTATACTATGTCTATGTTATAATGTATGGAATGGGGATGTCCGAAAAGCATCGCTGAAATCTGAGAGAGAATCATTTACGTGGACTTTGACGAACGAGTCGTATTTTTCTTATATTTTCTTTCTTCATTAGATTTCTTCTTCTTTTTTTCTTATTTTATTCGTTTTCTGCTTTACAATTTGACATGACTTCACTAATAAAATGATGATATTTAGCGAAAATTTATAGGAAACGGAAGGGATTACGAAATGCAGTTCGATATGAGACTTGACAAATTAGTAGTATACCTTTTAAGGTGTTCTCCCATTAGAATAATAAAGCAAGTTAGCCAGCTACTACTAATATATTAAGTCTCATGTCGAAGTGCATTTGACAACCCCTTCCCTCTACTTATTATTATTATCTTATTAACGTTTTGTTAGTGTCGAACGTATCCGGGAAATCATTAAGAAAAGTTAGACGAACGGAAGAGCTGAAGGGAAAGGAGGAAAACTATTCTCTACCGTGGTGGAAAGCGTTATCGCGGTGGTGAAAGGCTTTGAGACGAACAGACTTTAACTTACTGTTGGCGCAGTGTTGCTCGAGGCCACATTGAGCGCACCTGTTGGGCGAAGCTGTGCCGCAGCTGCAACCACCGGAGGGTACGCAACAAGCGCATTCGTTGCTAGACGAATTGAAGTTGCAAGCACAGCCTTTTGTGCTTTGCGTCCAAAGATCCACCTTACCTTCCGATCCGCCTGTAACACACAGTTCAATTTATATTTAACTTATCATTTATGTTAATTTAACGAAATCTCTTATCAAATTGTTTTATTTATTAATATCCTAGCGTTAATTTCATTTAACATCAATTTCACACGATTTTTACTTTGGATTCCATCTGTTGGCGTGATTGATAAAACAGGAAAATTCAATTATATTGTATACGCGGAGAGAGACAAAGAGAGAGAGAGAGAGAGAGAGAGAGAGCTATTGGTAGAAAACATTTGTCTGCCCGGAAGCTCGACGCACTTTCGACAAACAAACAAAGTCGCGATTCAAAGGATTTTTACGTGCAACCGATTCAGGAACCTTTTGTCAGTTGGTTTTGCTAGTACGTTCTATTCGTTTTCGGACCGATATTCGCGTCACGATATAACGTTTTACGTTTTTCATTGTTGAGTTTGCTTTCTTTCTCTCTTTGCTAGTCTTCTAACTATTTCTCTATTTCTATTTTCGTCTCTGTATTTCAATACTGTCTTCCGTGTTCATTTCGTACTTTCTCTCACTCGTTGACATCCCAAGGTAACTGTAAATAGAAACGTGTTTGAAAACAACGTTGCTTGCAAGAAATACGTCTCTCTGACGAGCGATTGTTCATTCTTTTAGCCGCCGTTTAACAGAAAACAAGCAATACTTTTTTCGAATTCGTTAGTTTTTTTTTGACGAATTCCCGCGAAATTTTTCGTGACTTGTAAGAGAAATGAAATGAAAAACAAAAAAGAGTGACGCTCGGTTAGTACAATAAAACAAAAAAGGGGCTTAACGTAATTTTCATTTTCAAAGAAAATTTTGAATGTGTCTCCGTGGATAACGCACGAGTACCTACCTATTTTAAACATTTTTGGAACACGTTCGATAATAGAAATGTGGGTAATAAGTATGCACAAGAGAGCGAAACGATGTGTACATGCCAAAGGGGAGTGGGAGGGGGGGGGAATGCTAATAGAGATTTCTGGTTGATTCTGCAAACGTATAGAGATGGGTAAAGGGTGATTGATTGTTCGCCTCGAACGAAGGGAATGAGGTTGAGGATAGGCAGGTGGCCGGAGAACGATGTGCTGCTAGCACGGAAAAAGGAAGAAGAATTAAAAGAAAAAGAAAAAGAAGAAGAAGAGGAAAGAAAAAAAAAAAGGGGGAAAAAGACGAAGAGTAAGGTAAAGGTTCTTTCTCGAGGAAGAAGAAGAAGAAGAAGAAGAAGAAGATTTGGGGTGTGAGTTAGCTGAGGTGGGGTAGGGTGAAAGAAGACATAAATTCCAGACTAGTGTAAAAAGGGCGTTAAGAGGAGAAGCTCCGGCACCCCCGATATGTCAATATCCGAAGGAAATACGGGAGCGGTACTTGGCCAAAGGGGTAGTAAAAATAAAGAAAACTTTATTGCTAACTCTGCCGCCTTTAGCGCCAGTCGCCAGTCGACGGAACGAATTTCGGAAAAACTTTCCCAGTTCCGGATGCTTTTCCTGACCGTGAATGTGCCGGGAGGATATTCCAGAGAGAGAGAGAGAAAGAGAGGATTAGATTTCAGGAGATTTCGTGGTGCGAAAGTATTCGGGACAGTCAACGAAGTGGCAAAGAGAAAGAAGAAGAAGAAGGGAGAAAGGGAGAGAAAGATACGAAAATGTCTCTATTTCTTTTCTACGACGAAAAGCCGGGCAGTATTCTAAATTGGATTTTTAATCCATCGATCCGTGCTCGATTACAAGAGTTTATTTAAGAGAATAGAGAAGTATATATATATATATATATATCACTATATATATATCTATAGGACATCGATATAGAGAAGATAAAAAGAAATCTTGGCTGGGAGATTGTGAAAGGTAGAGTGGGTGGAGAGAATAAAATGTGGGAGGATAGTATGCTTTGGAGAAAGAGAAGAAATGTGTTGGTGCTGCGTCGAAGAATGTTATTTGTAGAAAGAAACGAAAAAGTGAACGAGGACGTCTATATAGAGGGGCATCGATAAAAGAAATCCAAAGCGAACAAATGCACAGGGATCTGCCCACCCTTCTTTTTCTCTTTCACTCTCTCACTCTCTTACTCTTCAAGCGGACGACTGATACGTTTTATCGGTATATCCTTTCTTCATGATTTTTACGATGTCCACTTTGTTTGGAAGTATTATAAAGCCCCACATTGGTACTAACCGGAATTAGACGAATTGATGGTGCACCGCAGCGGTGAGACGCACAAATCACTGATTGGCTATAACGTATTCGCGCATGTGCACGCGACTATGCGACCGTCACGTAATAGATGTCACGCTGATTAGCATCGAATACGCCATTCCACCCTACTACCATTGCTAACTATTCGTGTTACACGTTACCTATATCTCTTCAACGTTGCCCTTGAATATGGATGAGAGATTTGCGAATTTGTAAAATAATGGTTACGTTTAAAGATAGATTACTATAGCCGTAACATCTCTCTCGTCGTTGTTATTTCTCTTTCTTATCGTATCTTCTCTAGACGACTTTTCCGACATTTCATGAGAATATGTTCTTCTCTCTATCTTTCTTTTCTCTCCTTTTTTTTTTTTTTTTTATCGATCAGACTTATCTCTCGTTCGACCACGAAACTCGGTTCCAAAGGAAGAATTCAAAAGAAATAGGGGGATAGTAAAAAGCACGGACAAGCAAGTAAAATCCTGGGAGATAGAACTTGGTTCCAGGTGGCATCGACTTTCGATAGGTACTACGAAGAGATCCACTTAGTGCTCACTTTCCGTCGACGTTAAATTCTAATGAAGCCGATATATATACTCTTGCCAAAAGCTGGTCTAGAGATGTGTTTCGAGTGTGTGTTTCGGCGAGGTGGTTTGAATACTGCGTTACAAGTTCTTTAGCACGATGTGTACGTGACTATAATAATTTTCGAGCGAACAAGTGTGGTCGAATCGAGGTCTCTCTCTCTCTCTCTCTCTCTCTCTCTCTCTCTCTCTCTCTCTCTCTACTTCTATCTCCATCTCGCAAATTATTTCTCGGTATCACCTAGGCAGCTTGCTCCGCACATTACCATGGTAATAGACAAAACGGTGATCGGCGCGACGTGTAGGATGGCTTTTCCAAGGCCGTTCATTAGCTTCGATATTGGCTCGAAACAACAAGCGTGTAGGAACCGGTGTACAATGTAATTTAGGTAGCCCTCCTATTCTATGTATTCTCATAGTAATTTGTACGCGCCACCAACGCGCGTATTCGTTTCCGCGCTGGTTAATCTTTTCCCACGGAATAGACATTTTCGAATTATTCGAGTAAATATTTGTTTGCCGTAAAACATTTATTTGTTTTCTCTCTCCTTCGTCAAAACGAACCTTTTCTTTTTTTTTTTCTCTTTTGTAACAACTTCATCCCCCGTGAGTTTTTCCATTTACAGCGACGTTACAATAATTATTACAAATTGCATAACACGTAGTTGAGATTTTCGTTAAAAACAAATTTATTCGGCGATGAATTAGAGGACACGCGTTTCCGTTTGCTTTCGTTAGTATAAATTGATTCGAAAGTGCGAACAATAACATTCTACACCAATCGAACGTTTAACCGATAATTAGTATTAACAATACTCCCGGAGTTTAGCAATTAAATGATATGTAAGCGTATTGCGGTGTTCGATTTCGAAATTTGCATTGTGGCTTTCGAGAGTCGACGTATCGATTATCGTGGCTTTGTCGGACACTGGATACGATGTATCCTATTTGTCTGTATACGTATTTCCTAACACGAAAAGTCCATGCGTCTTTCGCGAAATTGTGTCCACCTATAATTAGATCATCAAAATAGCATTATTTTTCCGCTCGTTCCATTTTACATATTTACTCCCGGGGGGGGGGGGCGTCGGGAGGTTCATCTCTCTCTCTCTCTCTCTCTTTTTAATCACGTTACTCGTTTTTTTTCCTTCTTTAAATATTCTTCGTATCTGAACGCGCGAGATCGATGGCTGTCGATTAGGTGGATTAAGTTTTACTTTCATGACTGTACGTACTCTGGTCACTGTGTTACTCACCATACTATCTGCATCTCCATACATTTGCACTTTAATTGGGTTCGCACCTATTTCACTCGCTTCTAGGTAACATCTCTCTATCCTTTTTCTCTCTACATAGTTATCTTTCGACTCTTATAAATATTTATAATATCATGGCGAGCTTGTAGAAATGATCGCAAGATCATACGCGCGCGCCCACGCACGCACGCAGCTATTTTCCCTACGAGAGTTAGACAGTCACGAAACGAAGAAGAACGTTTCCAAAGTTGAAGACACTTTTGGAGACATTGAGTGATAAATGCGATACTAAACGAAAATGGGAAGAGTACATTCCCTGGTGCATATTGCGCCGCATAATAATGTAACAACGTGGAATCGAATTAGAAGAAAGTTGAAGAAATAAATTTGTAGTCATCTTATCTATCTATTTTAACACTAGATTTATCAGGTATTTTGATATACCAGTCAAAATGACTGGTCTTTAATAAGAAGTGTTTAGCGAGGTAAAAATAGCAATAGCAACAAATATATTTCTTACGCGAATATAATATATAATATAATATAAAGTTCTTCCATAAAACTGATTCTTTAGTTACAGCTAGAAAAATCATGACATCATTACGGAAAGGAAATGTTACACATGCGGTAAGAATTTGAAATTGAAATTGCAAGATAAATCTAGTGTTAAAAACGTATTTTGTCTATTATTTTTTGATTTTAATAGGAGATATAATGCGATTCCGTTGTATGGAATTCGTTAATGTTATGTACATTTTCCAGTATAGTATCGCTTTAACGAGTTCTCGATATCGGCGTCCCATGAAGTTTGACTAATCGTTCTCGTCGAACAAGGGAAACCAAGCGAGGCCAATTACCTTTATCGGTATAGGTTAAGAGAAACGACGGTTTTCGTGCTACATACAAGCAACCCCTTACAAGCTCCACGGATGACGTCGACGAGTTATCATAATCGGCTTTGGCGTAATGC